CGTGGCTGCAGCTTCCCCCTCTTCCTGGAGCGGACCACGCCTCTCAAAGGCGTGATCTTCAGGAATGCCTTATCTCCCTTCTCGAAGTGGATATCTCGTCTACGCTGGTTAGCGTAACGCTTCTGTCGATCCTGTGCCACCTTTATCCGCTCACGGATCAAGGCGACCTTCTCCACCGTGTCCTCGATCAGCTTCGAACCGAGAACCTGCCGTTCGCCGATCTCATCCCAATAAAGGGGTGATCGGCACTTGCGACCGTACAACGCCTCATACGGTGCCATCTTGATCGACGCCTGATAGCTGTTGTTGTACGCGAACTCAATCAACGTCAACAACTCCTCCCATGAACTACCACGATCCAGAACACATGCTCGAAGCATGTCCTCGAGTGTCTGGATGGTCCGCTTTGACTGCCCATCGGTCTGCGGGTGGAAAGCAGTACTGAACCTCAACTGTGTCCCCACGGCCTCGCTGAGGCTCTTCCAGAAATGACCGGTAAAACGGGGATCTCGATCTGACACTATGACCTTGGCGATTCCATGAAGTCGCACTACCCCGCAGATATAGATACTCGTGAGCTGCTCCATGGACATCGTCATCCGCACGGGCAAGAAACGAGCCGACTTCGTCAGTCGGTCCACAACTACCCAAACCGCATCATGCTGCTCCCTCGATTTGGGTATTCCCGTAACGAAATCCATGGTAAGCTCTTCCCACTTCCACAGTGAGATCTCCAAGGGCTGCACTAAACCCGGTGGAAACTTGTGCTCGGCTTTCACCTGCTGGCAAACTAAGCACTTCTTCACAAACTCAGCAACATCTCTCTTCATGCCCCTCCACCAAAATGACCCTTTCAGGTCGTGGTACATCTTGGTGCTGTCGGGGTGCGCCAAATAGGGTGCACTGTGAGCCTCGGTCAAGATCTCCTTCCTCAGGGCCTCGACATTCGGCACAACGAGCCTTCCCTTATACTCCAAGGCACTATCTGCGCCTCGGTAAAACCCCTCTACGCCCTCGGCAACAACCTTCGCCCTCATGGAACGAACGAACTCATCAACGGACTGATCTCTCCGAACTCGATATCGGAGCATGGGCCACAGTCTCATCGACCGAACACCTCCTACTACAGGCATCGTAAGAAGTGACTCGATGACGTCTAACTGCATCCGAGCGAACTCTCGAAGGAGCTGACTCTGCTGGGTGATCATGCAAGTCAACTCGCCCCTCGCCTTTCGGCTAAGGGCATCAGCTACCACGTTCGCCTTCCCCGGATGATACTGAATGGTGCAGTCGTAATCCTTCACTAGCTCCAACCATCGCCTCTGGCTCATGTTGAGCTCCTTCTGCGTGAAGATATACTGCAGACTCTTGTGGTCGGTGTAGATCTCACACCGACCACCATACAAATAGTGCCTCCATATCTTGAGTGCGTGAACAACGGCTGCCAACTCAAGGTCGTGAGTCGGGTAGTTCTCCTCGTGGGGCTTCAGTTGCCGCGAAGCGTATGCGACAACCTTGCCCTCCTGCATCAGCACGCACCCAAGTCCCTGCTTCGAAGCATCACTGTAGATAGTGAAACTCTGTGTAGGGTCCGGTATAGTCAGCACGGGCGTTGTAGTCAACCTCTCCTTGAGCTCTTGAAAGCTCGACTCACAGTGACTACTCTACTCGAACTTAGCTCCTTTCCTCGTCAAGCGTGTCAAGGGTAGGGCTATCCTCGAAAACCCCTCAATGAACCTCCTGTAGTAGCCTGCTAACCCGAGAAAACTCCGTATCTCGGTAACAGACCTCGGTGCTGACCAGTTCCTCACTGCCTCGATCTTTCCGGGATCGACCTCAATGCCCTCGGCCGTAATGATGTGACCAAGGAACGCCACTCGATCGAGCCAAAACTTGCACTTCGAGAACTTGGCGTACAGTGTCTCCCGCCTAAGAGTCTCCAACATGATCCTTAAATGCTCCTCGTGCTGGGCTGCGCTATTCGAGTAGACCAAAATGTCATCTATGAAGACGATGACAAACTGGTCCAAGAATGGGTGGAAGACACGGTTCATGAGATCCATGAATACCGCCGGCACATTGGTCAAGCCGAACGGCATCACGACAAACTCATAGTGACCGTATCGGGTACGAAATGTGGTCTTAGCCACGTCAGAGTCCTTGATCTTCAGCTGGTGGTAGCCCGATCGCAGATCTATCCGGGAAAATACACGGGCGCCCCTTAGTTGGTCTAACAAATCCTCGATCCTAGGGAGTGGATACTTGTTCTTTACTGTCAACCGGTTCAAGTCCCGGTAATCGATGCACATACGCAAAGTCCCATCCTTCTTCTTCACTAAAAGGACAGATGCTCCCCAAGGAGAGACGCTCGGTCGGATAAAACCGAGACTCAATAGCTCCTGGATCTGAGCCTTCAACTCCTGGAGCTCCTTCGGCGCCATTCGATACGACGCTTTCGACACTGACCCGGCTCTAGGCACCAGGTCGATCGTGAACTCCACCTGACGACTAGGTGGTCCTCCCGGTAGCTGATCCAAAAAGACGTCCACGAAATCACGCACAATGGGTACATCTCCGGGCATCCACTCCTCCGAAGGTTCCCCGACTATGCTCACCAGGTATCCCTGGCATTTCCCTCTCTGCAAACACTTAGTCGCCTTCGCCATCGAAATGACTCGGGGTAGGGTCCTCGTCTTCGTCACGAAGAACGTGATACGATCTCCCTCGGCTAAGTGTAGTGTCACCTCTCTATCACGACATCAAATGTCTGCCTGATATCTCTCCAACCAATCCATGCTGAGAATAAGGTCAAAGTCCCTCATCCCGATCACGAACGCATCAACCTCTAAAGTTCTGCCACCAATACTCATGCTAAGATTCTCGGCCAAGGAGCTTGTAACTATCTTCCTCCCCGAAGCTAAGCTGATCTCGAGGGGGTCGACGGCACTCACTCCTCGGACTCCTAAGGCCTCTAGACACTTGGCCGAGACGAACGAATGTGTCGCCCCGGTGTCGAACAACGCAAAGATAGGCACATCACACAAAGAAATCATCCCGAACATGGTACCTGGCTGCTCGGAGGCATGAGCCTGGTCAAGTGCGTAGACGCGTGCAGGTGCTCCACGTGGCTGGTTCGGGGCCGGCTGAGGCTGACCCTGCTGGCGCTGAACTCTGTCTGGGCAATCTCCCCTCAAGTGTTCGGGTCTACGGCAGTGGAAACAAATGCCTCGTCCCGCAAGACACTCACCGGTATGGTGGCGTCCACAGGTAGCGCAGGCTGGGGCAATCTGCTGAACTGGCTGTACGGCTTGAGCTGGGGCCTGATCCCTCTGTCGGACCCTCCACCCTGCCGGTCCCTCCCCCTCCTCTTGTTCTGATGCTGTGGCTGCTGGGGAAGAGCCAGCTGCGGTGGGGCCTGCTGTGCTCGCTGCTGTGTCGGTGGCTGGTGAGCTGGCAGACGGACGGCGCGAGTACGGATGGCCTCCAGTCGGAGACTCTCATCAATCTACTGAGCCCTAGAAACGGTCTCAGCATAAGTCAGGGCGCCAAGGCCAGCGAGATGGTGGTGAATCTCCCCGCGAAGACCGCCCTTGAAGCGCCTCGCCCTCGTCTCCTCCGTATCAATCAGGTAAGGCACGAAGAAGCCGAGGCGAGTGAAGTCCCTCTCATACTCATCGACAGTCCTAGCATCCTGATGCAGTGCTAAGAACTGCCTCTCCATCCTCTCTCTGTAGTGGGCTGGGTAATACTTCACCCGGAGGAGCGCCTTCAGGCCAACCCAAGTGAGGGCTAGCTTCTCCCCGGGTTGCATATCCCAGTACGAATGCCACCAAAGACTTGCATCCCCTATCATCTGTAGCTGTGCACACATGATCTTGTGAGGCTCGGGGCAATCCATCACCTTGAAAATCATGTCAAGACTGCGCAACCACTCATCGACAAGCCTCGGGTCTCCCTGCCCATTGAACGTCGCAGGGTGGTACCCGCGGAACTGAGAAACTGAAGAGGCCTGGTCGCGCACTGACGCGGCCGGCGGGGGCGGTGGTGCACGCGGAACTGGTTCGGGCGAGGCCCATGCTCGGCGTGGAATCGGGGCTCGACGAAGAGGCATCTGATTGGTCAATGACAGGGATTAGCACGAAGTATTAAATAATTGACGGAGAATTAATTATGCAGAAAGGTTAACAGAAATTCTCAAAGTTAACTATCTCTGCTGAAATTCTAACTGAAGCAGTATAGCCGATTAATAAATAGCTACACTATACTTTAATAAGTTATCGGATTCCGAAAACACCTAGCTTGGCTAGAGTTCCAGGTACACTAAAATTCTCTAAGTCCTTACTAGAGTTCTGACTAGAATTCTCAAATCTTAATCGAAGGATAGATCTAACGCCCCTGAAATAATCTAAATATAATTAAATATGCATTCACAAATAAAA